ATGTGAGGTTTTCTGGCGATGAAGCGGTGATCAAGTAAGCATTCTTTTTTCCTCTCTTCGCTTTGCTCGTGCCTTTAATATCTTCTCGCTGGCGAGCTTTCCAGGTACACCAAGAAATTCGATGGAGTGGAGCTTGACAACATTGTCGAAAGGGTGTCCGACCTTCCAGATCCAAAGGTAGAACTTTTCGATCTATCTTTCTGCAAAGCCGCAAAGAAAGTATGGTCTCATTCACGTTTTGGCAGCTCGATCCAGATGTCCAAGCTGCATTTGATGTGGCCTTCGACAACATCTACAAATTCCATCTTGCACAGCGAAAGACTCAACAGCTTGAAGTAGAAACCATGCCCGTCAGTGCTCTATCCGAGTCTGGTAACTTGGAGCTTGTGTGATAAATGCTAACTCCTCGGCTGTTTTGCCACCCAGGGAGTTAAATGCCGGCGAGTTGCGAGGAGTATCGACGCCGTCGGGCTTTACGTCCCTGGTGGAACGGCTGTTCTTCCATCAACAGCGCTCATGCTAGCAGTGGTACGTCATGTCTTTCACTGATCTTTCTTCTTAAAGCTGCAAGATTAATAGCCCGCAGGTATTGCCGGATGTGAGACGATTGTTCTTGCGACTCCACCACGGTCGGACGGTTCAATATGTCCGGTACGTGTTTTATTTTCCTCGAAAAGTTGTCAAGCTTAGTGGAGCACGCAGGAAGTTTTATATTGTGCTAAGAAAGCTGGAGCTACTCACATCCTAAAAGCTGGAGGAGCACAGGTACTCCACTCTTCATGCTCTTTTGTTACGTGTTCTCATCTTTGGAACTGTTTAGGCTGTAGCTGCCATGGCATGGGGCACTAATTCCTGTCCAAAAGTAAGAATTTGTTGTTGAAGCTTCCGTGATTGACATTCCATCTCCATATTGCCACAGGTCGACAAGATCCTAGGCCCTGGAAATCAGTATGTAACTGCTGCGAAGATGTTGCTACAGGTACGAAGTTGCATATTTTCCTTCTTAGTTTACCGTTTTTCAAGCTTTTCTATCCTATAGAATAGCGAGTCTATGATCTCCATAGATATGCCTGCTGGGCCCTCGGAAGTCCTTGTCATCGCGGATAGAAACGCAAATGCGATCCATGTAGCTGCGGATCTCTTATCCCAGGTTCGTCAAGCTTTAGCTTTGTTTTGCTTAGAAACGCTTTGTGTACTTACAGGCGGAGCACGGCCCGGACAGCCAAGTGGTTCTCGTGGCTGTCGGCAGCGTCGACTTAGAGGCCATCGAAGAGCAAGTTTACAAGCAGTGCCAGGAGCTTCCCCGGGGAGATATCGCGTCGGTCGCGCTGGGTCACAGCTTCATCGTCGTTGCTCGAGGCATGGCAGAGGTCAGTCAGTCAGCCTTTACGCGATCGTAGAAAACTAGATAAGAGTTTTCATTCATTCCTTTGGTTCTTCCAGGCTTGCAAGTTCTCCAATGTCTACGCGCCGGAGCATCTCATTGTCAACGCTGAGGACGCTGAGGCTTGGCTGGATCACATAAAAAACGCAGGTTTGCATAGCACATTCTTCGCGATTGAGTGGAAGTTTTTCTCTTTCTTCGTCTTGGCAGGGTCTGTGTTCTTGGGAAGGTGGACGCCCGAGAGCGTTGGCGACTACGCGAGTGGAACAAACCACGTCCTCCCGACGTACGGCTACGCTAGGATGTACGGCGGCGTGTCGCTGGACTCGTTCGTCAAGTACATGACCGTACAATCGCTGAGCCGCGAAGGGCTTGGTTTGATCGGCCCGTCCGTGGCGATGATGGCCGAGGTCGAAGGCCTGGACGCCCACAAGCGCGCTGTGACGCTGCGCTTGGCGTGATCCATTCGATCTATACATCGATCGTCCAGTCTCTTGCAAACAATCCTTTTGGCGCTAGGTTTTAGGGTTCTTGGAGGGGGCTATGGCTGCTGGTTCGTCCCCACTGTTTAGTTTCCAGCCATCCTCCCCGTCCCCATTCGCAGCTAGCAGCACGCCATCGCCATTCGCTCCTCCAGCTGCGTCCTCGTCGCCGTTTGCCAGCGCTCCATCGCCATTTGCGTCGACGCCGCCCGCGTCCTCGCCATTCTCTGTGTCATCGTCGCCGTTTGGGACATCGTCGCTCTTCCAGCCGCAACAGACGCAGCCACAGCAGCAGCAGCAGCAGCAGCAGCAGGTTCTTCCGCAATCCGGGCAGCTCGGCCTCGTCACGAACGATCGCACGCCAGTGACTTACAGTACCAGATGGGCGGACATCCATCCCGACTCGCAGCGCGCGCTCCTCAAGATCGAGTAAGTGTGAGCTACTTCGAAGTTATTTTTCATGATCTTCCGCCATTTCCAGGGAGAAGATCTTGGAGTACCGGGATGAGAGCTGGAGGCTGGATCAATGCGAGAGATTGTACGACACCGCTGCGCTAAACAAAGGCTTCGAGCTCGATGCTACACGCATCTCCCAGGTATGCCAGTTCTTTCTTTTTCTTTGTTTCGTTGGGTTTAATTCTATCAACTTAGTCAGTATAGCCGTCTATAGTTCCTGTCTATATGGTTTTTCTATCGTTCGTTCTCTCGCAATCTTTAGTAGTTGTGACCATACCATTGCTAGAGTCTGTGTATTTAGTTCTTTGTTTCTTTGGGTTTAGTTGTATCAACTTAGTTAGTGGCTAGATCTTTGTCTATCTTTCCTGTCTATATGGTTTTGCTCGTTTGCCAATCCCAACATCGTGGTGTGAATTCAGGAGCTCTCGGGTGTTGCCATCGGAATCGAACGAGAGCAAAGCTCGCTCCAGGAGCTCATGAAGTCTGTCAAGGACATGCTCCGCAACACAGAGGTAGCCGTGCGCTCCTTCATGATGCTGTGCCTGCGTTTCCCGCGTCCATCCGGAGGAGCTCCTGGCGGAGGAACTGGAGCCACGCCCCCGGCCTCGTTCGCAGCGCAGGCTCCCGGTGCCGTCTACGTCTCGGACTTCTACATCGGTGTCCCCGTGAAGCCTTCGCCGTTTCTGCAGCAGGCTGTGGCAAAGTTTGAGGGGCGGCTCGGCGAGTACAGGCAGTGGGTTGAAGAGCTCGAGAGGCTTCTCTTGCGCAACGACAAGGATGATAGAGTGGCGTCGGACTTTTCGCTTCTCCAGTCGCTGCCCGCGGTGATGAGCAACTTGCACGACTTCTTCATCTATGTTGCAGCCGAGGTACTCGTTTCTTTGTTTTTCTCTCCGGGTTAAGCTGCGGTTTCCAGGTGGAATCACTACACGAGTTTTTGGAAACGATACGGCTGACTTTCCTCGCCAACCAGCGGCGGAGGGGTGATGACAACGATCCGTTCCTCGAGGCTGACATGCGAGAGAACGCAAAGCGAGAAGCAGCGGCAAAGAGAGTGCATCCAAGCGCTCTTAAGCCTTCGGAGCTTGCTGCGTACGCACCCTCGGCGCCTCCATTGCCAGCAGCGGGATCATCGGCTGCCTTCACTCCTACCCCTGGAGGATTCACTCCTGCGTCGTCGTCTTCACCATTCCCGTCGATTCTGGGAAGCGCATCCACACAAGGCTTTAACTCGACGTCTTCGGTCTCTGGACTAACTCTACAAATACCATCTCTTTTCCCTCCTTCGGCTCCGTCGATTGGAACAACGCCCTCTATATTTGGTCTGTGCGATCGTTTTGCTTTCCTTCCTGTGATTCTAAAACACTTTCTTTGTAGGTGTTCCAGGCACCACAGGCTTGTTCGGATCCGGTGTGGCGCCTTCGGTGAGTTTTCTCTGTTTGACGCTTGCTTTTCTACCTCTTCGCTTACCACTTATCGTGCTGCAGTCAACAACAGCGAAACCGAAGTCACGAACGTCGAGAAGTCGACGATAGAAATCTTATTTGGGCCGCGGAGAATGTAAAGTTCTTGTCAGTGTGTACCATTGTCGAATTTTTGCTGGAGGTAACTTAAATTTTTTTTGTGGACTTCGTGGTTGGCGAGGACTTCATTCTTTCGAAGATTTGCAAGCCTCGCGTGTGTTTCATATCGCAAGCTAGAGAAACCATATCACCAAAGTTCATGAAATATTTTTCCTTTATACACTTTTTTTTGTCTCTTCAATTTTTGTGGTCGATGACCACGCTATGCCTGTCCGCGAGCACAGCATCCTTTCGGGCGTTGCGAGCTCGGTCGAGCCTCTCGGATGGTGCCAGTGTTTCTTCTCCGGCGCGGCTATCCCCGGCGAGCAGCGCAGCCAAATCCGTGAAGCTGGAAACTCTCAGTGGATGCAAGCTTGGGATTGCCTGGTATCCAGATTTCGCTTACAACGCCGATGGTGGAGGAGGTAGCGCGTGCTCGGTGGAAGATTTGGAGCGGGGAAGATTGGCTGTGCGGTTCGACCCAAGCTCCGTTTCCATTCCAGCTCTGAGTTTCTCCACCACCAAGTTGCTGGGACTTCCACTTCCACCTCCGCTACGTATAGAGATCAAGCCGCAAGCTCTGGAAGGAGTGATTGATCGACACTCAGGAAAGGTAAAGAAAAAAGAGAGTAGCCCCTCTCTTCTTTATCTAATGAACTTGCTGGTTACTTCTCCCTTGTAGGTGGAGCTTAGATTCATCGCGGAGTTTTTCTTCACCGCAGGTCCAGTGTATAGAGCTCCAGCTCTTGTCGTGGATACGCTCCTCACGACGGGAAGTTCCAGTGGGAAGCACAGGAGCGGCCAGGGAATCGCCATGGATGAGAACGGGAGCTGCAAGCTCGTAGGCACTGCAGTCATCGACAAAGTTAGCGATGGGTTCCTCGATGCGTTTCTGGCGCTCCCGAGTGAGTGCCTTGCTGAAATGTACGCACGGATAACAGTAACTTGAAACGTACCAGTTGGTCGAAAGCTTATATGGTGACGACTATCTGCTTCTCTTCCGGCTCTGGTATATCGTCTCGCTGCTGCTGCTGGTCCTCCTTTGCAGTGTGATCTGATGCTCCATCTCCAAGGTTCTTGTTCTGGAGAGCGACGAAATCCTGCGTCAGTTTGCTAATCTGCTCCAGAGCAGCCTCCAGCTTGTTCTCAATCTTTTGTTTGTCCTTCATCAGCGATTCTATCATTTCTTGGTTGTTGACCTCGATCTCCGACGCGCAGGAATGCCTTGCTGATGTCGGCACTGGCTTGTTGACGAACTCAACTTTGAGGTCACTTGGAAGAAAAGGACGCTGTTGTTGCTGTGGTCGTTGCATGGCTTCCCCCGTTTGTGGAGGCTGAACAACGTTAGTGACAGTTTCCTGTAATAGCAGAGAAGTTATTGAGGTGCGAAAAGAAAGAGAGAAAAGAAAAACTTACGACAGCTGAAGCTGGACGGGACGAGTTCCTTTCTGGGTGGCGAATCTTTCTCTGCGGGGCTTTACCGCTGATCAAGCGGCTCCAAAAGGTGCGTAGTCGAGATGCCTTTTCAATCTTAAAACCTGTTTGGAGCTGGAAGTATTGTGGCAGCATCATCACGTACACCTGTTGATTTAATTGATTAAGTAAACACCATGAGAAAGTTTCAAGACTTGGAAGTTACCAGATTGCTGTGCCGAAAGCCGTGTCCACCATAAGTTATTAGAAAGTTCCGTCCGCGATGCTGAGCGCTCACAATGCTAATTCCCTGACAATCCAGAGTCAAGCTTGCAAAACTAGAAAATATATCGTACATCGTTTGCCAAGGGCGAGTTTGGTGAAACAGTCGTAATTACAGCCCACGTTTGGGTCGGCAAATCGAACACGAGAGTTCCAATAATTTCTGCAAAGGCCAAAGTCTAGACGTGATTTGCCAAGAAAAATCTGCATTTACCTTTATCGCTGTATTCTCCTCCTACAATGTACCACCTGTGGCCAACAATTACACTCGCATGGCCAGCACGAGGAACGACGTTGCCTCTTGGCTTCGTTGCAACCCATTCCATCTATAGATTTTGAAGATCAGAGCATGAAGAAACAGGACAACGGACTTACCGCACGTAGATCTAGGCAATGCACATCGCTAAGATAAGAAGTTCTTGATTTTCCACCAAAAATCCACAGGTAACGCCCGGCGTAGCATGCAGCAGTATGACATTTCCTTGGACAAGGCTTTGAGCCGCTGCATCAAGGAACCACAAGAGTCAGTGAGTGGTAAGAAGAGACAATGGAAAGCTGTACATGGTGCTGCAAGGAAGCCATGAAAACGTTTTGAGATCCAAGATTTGAATATCATTTCTCAGCTGGCCTCTGGCATCCTCGCCACCAAACATAATCAGCATGGAACCAACATGAACGATGCTGTGGCCGATGCGAGCCATCTGCAAGGTAATAAACCAGTTAGTCATTCTGGACAATTTTAAGGAGCACATACCGGTATTTCTCCATCCACGTCAAGCTTTGTCCATTTACGTGTTTCCAATTCAAAAGCAATGACTGCAGGTTTGAGCGCTTGGTTAAATTGTTTATAGAACTCCTGCTAGCAAACCTTCCAAGATCTTCTTCATCGGTTCTACATGGCCTCCAAGAACAAGCAGCTTCTTCTCCCAGAACACCTGCAAAAAATGCTCGTAAAAACAAAAGGTATAGTTCGAGACTGACACTACCAAGCTATGGCCGGCACAATGAGGGCCAGGATAGCCCAGTTCCGGAACCCATAAACTCCATTCCCTCCATTCACCCGTAACCGTATTTAGTTCCTGGTAAGTAGAGGATTAATTTGAGCAATAGAAACACTTGATTGGTACCTGGACGTCGTTTAACAAGCCCCTCGAGAAAATGCCACCCACAACGAACATTCTTCGACCCACCATGATTGCCGCATGCTACAGAAAATACGCCAGAAAAACTAAGCAACAGCACAAGATAGAAAAATCACACCTTGGACCGACATATCGGTGACTGGCCTGTTACTTGAAGTTTGTACCATGAGTGCTCATATTTAATCATGTCAAGGGACTTGATAAACAGGTTTTCTTCGTCTAAGGCAGCATGGTGCTTCCGGTACTAGTAATTTGAAAGATCAGTATCAACTAAAAGAGGAAAAAAAAAAGGAAAAGAAATGAGAGAGCACCTTGTAGGTAAACCATGGTACGCAGTGCACTTGACTCTTGTAGTGCTTGCAAATTCGGCAGCTGCAGTGAGACGGAGTTGGACTGGCACCGCTGCTACCAGTGACAAACTGGCAAACACTAGCATCACTTCTCCGTGGCAAGGCCCAAGGAGCTTCCGGGATGAGATCCAACGGACTGCCCGGTGCACCATAATACGGATCAGTGTTGCTCATAGCTGCGGGTGATGAATCTTGCAGCTTGATACTGCTTCAAATGAAAACCAATGCCAGGCACGTGATGTATTTGAATGGAGACAGTTTCTGACGACGTCCACAAGGCTGGAAAAATGAACGGCCGGTGAGCCTTTCAAAGCATTTCAATGTCCTGATTACCGCTGCTTCGTAAAGGCATTACCACAACGCGTGGCCTCCATCAAGTGGAACCATCGGGCAGAATTTTATGAACATCCTAGTGTCGGGACAGATCTGAAAGCCAACACACTAAAAACATACAGATTAAGATGGCAAGAACTGTAAGAACTAGCTCGTACCGGAACTGCGAAAAGCTCGTTGTCCTTCGTGATCAAAACGGGAAGGCCCCTGCGAACGTATTCCGGAAGGGACTTGAGCTTCCTCCAGCCGTCGTGTATGTCAGTGCGCAATGTCCCGTCATTTAGAGCACGTTGTCGGACTTCGAGAAGATCGTTTCTGTTGAGATGCCGAATTTTTGCAAACTTTGCAGTCCTCAGCGAACAGGTGCCATTGAAACAGCCTTTGCAGCTACGATCATCGCTTCGTTGCCACCACGATATAAGATATCTCTTCATATAGTACGTGTTCTCGTTCGGAAACAGTACACTCTCGTCGGGTTGTTGACTAGCTACCTCCGAATCCTCTTGCACTTCCTCTCGAGCCTTGGGCAACATGTCAGCTGCCATTTCCTCCGCCAGTAGACATAGAAAACTTGCTGTAGCATCTGATATAATCTTCGCTTGCCTCGCGTCATGAATAACATTGGCATATTTCCGGCATGCGATAGATTCTTTCTTTGTCGAGGAAGCAGGCTCGTTCTGTTGTCTCGAGCCGATAGAACCAGGTCGTGGAGAATCAGGGGAGTACGTCACAAGGACCTTGGAGGTCTGTGTCCCTGGTTGTAAACATAAAGAACAACCAGCTACCGTCAGACGACCCTGCAAAAAAAGTATTTATGAAGTGATATTATACAGACCACGATAAATACCTCGGTACCACGCTTGGTAATCCAGGCTCTGGCTCCTCTAACAGCCGTCCCTTTAGCAGGTTTTGGTCTTTGTGAAACGAACTATTAAGTGCATAAAAACAACAAGAAAGTCTGTCAGGAAAACAGAGTGTAATAACGAGCGAACCCGTAACACTGAAGCCAGTAGCGTTTCAAGAACGGTTGTATCATTGGTTTCTGCCAAAAGTCCCTCCGCATCGACGACAGCATAGCCATAGTCCTGGCAAAAGCGTCACAGGAATACCGTGAGAAAGAGCAGACAAACCAGATCGATGTGCACGAATGTAGTCATGAGCATCTTAGTTTGCACATGAATCTCGGAACGTTTTTTGCGGTATGTAGCAATAAGATCTTGAACTTCGCTCCGCATTGAATCTGCAAGATAATGGTCATTACATCCGTATCGCAATAAAGAACAGGACCTCCAGAACCTGACAGAGAAACGAGCTCCTTTCGGATTTTGTTACGAGCATAGATCGTTTTGCAGTTCGTGGGATCCTCAATCCAGGACTGGTCAGCAACGTGACAGACCTGAATTCGGGCAGTATAAAACCACTTACAAGTAAAAGAAGACACTTACATTGTAAAGATCCTTCTTTTGGAGGTCCAAGAGTGGCCTGACAAGTAGCAGCCTGCTAGCCTCGATAATCGATGGCATGATAGGAAAGAGCTCAGAAGCTAAAGCCATACAAGCCAGACCATTATCTCCACTACAGCGTGAAAGCCTTAGCGCAAATAACTCCGCCTAGAAAACAGACAGCGAGTTTGCGTTTGGCATTTGTAGACACAAGAAAAATACCTGATCATCGGCATGGTGAGCAGTAAGAAGAACTCCAGCACCGTTTCTTTGGCATGCCTCTTGGAGAAGTTCGTATCTGACTCAAAAGTCCACCACGTCAACTCTGGCCAGAACCTTCATAGCTTACCTTGCTTTGCGAGCGCTTTCCTGGAGATGGCCAGGAGAAGGAAATCCTCCTTGCCAAGAACACTTGAGAATCTCGCACTCCATTCCTTGTTTTGCAAAGAAATTTTAGAAACATTGCAGGGAGTAGAAGCAAAGTTTTGCGTACCAAGAGTTCTTAGCCACTCCCGGACTTGGACGACTTCCTCGGCGCTCTCGCGACGAAATCCATGGTCCACCGTGAGGCCAAACACCAGACTTTTGGATTCTGTCCACTCGAGGGCGAGCAAGCACAAGGCCATGCTATCAGCTCCTCCCGAAACTGCAATGGCTGCGCGAAATCTTTTGATGAGAAAAGCCAGTGTGAGCTAGGGCTTACCGACGCGATCGCGGCAGCTCACTCCCGCAACCTCCATTTTCTTGTGGAACACAGCGCTGGCATTCTTGAAATCTCGCTGGCTCTCGCAATGCGCGACGGGCAAATCCTTGACGGGCATCCTGGAAGAGGACACAATGTGAGCGGCGATCATCGCAAGACAAGGCGCACCGAAAACCACAGCGCAATATTTCCCCCATTCCGCGATAAACCCTAGCTACTACCATGCAAGCGCCTCTTCTCGATCGATCCAGAGCGCGATGCGAAGAAGACGATCTCGCCGAGCGCCTCAAATGCTGCGCGGATGCCGCTGCCGCGAGAAATCTCCACAAGCTCATCGCCAGCAGCAATCGGCACTGCCAGAGCCGGTACCTGGCCAACCTCATCGTGCAGGCATACGGCCGGTGCGGATGCCTGGAGGAAGCGCGAGCGGCATTCGACACGATCGCGCGGCCGAATCAATTCTCCTGGAACCTGATGCTCGTCGCGTATTCCCAGAACGGGCATCTTGACGGTGCAAAGAGGATCTTCGCGATGATGCCTGATCCGGACGTTGTCTCATGGACTGCAATGCTCAAGATCTACGCTCTTGAAAGAAACGTGGATCGAGCCAAAGAAATCTTTGCGAAAATGCCCAATCGAGATGTGGTATCCTGGAACACGATGCTCACACTGTATGCCACAATTGGGCATTTTGTGGAGGTGGAAGAGTTCTTTAAATCCATGCCTGTGAAGAACGTAGTGTCATGGAATACGATGATCCAAGCGTACGCTGACGGTGAAGATCTTGATCAAGCAAAGTCCGTGTTTGATACAATGCCAGAGAGAAACGCCGTGTCGTGGAACACAATGATCCAGGCATATGCCCAACAAGGGCATATCCGCGCTGCGGAGGACATCTTCCAGCGAATGCCTGCGCACGACGCGATCTCTGGGAACTCTATGATCTCGGCCTATGCCCAGGTGGGCGATCTTGCGGAGGCAGCAGCGATCTTTAATCGAATGCGCTCCCGATCGCTTGCGTCCTGGAACGCGATGATCCAGGCGTTTGCTAGCAACGGACAGATGGACGCGGGGGAGGCCCTGTTCTTGCGAATTCCCGAGCGCGACGTCCTCTCTTGCAACTCTATGATCGTGGGTTTCGGGCAGTCCGGCGAGATCGCAAAGGCCGAGCGCGTGTTCTTCCTCGAGACGATCCACAAGACCGTCGTCTCGTGGAGTGTGATGATCCAAGCGTACGCTCAGAACGGCGCAGTCGAGAAATCGCTCGAGATGTTTCACGCGATGCCGGGGACTCGCGACGTCTTTGCATGGAATGTGGCTCTACGCAGTGCCGCGGAGCTCCATCGCCATGAAGCATTCTTCCGGAGCATGCCAATGACGAATATAGCGTCGTGGAGGGCGATGATCCTAATCCACATCGACTGCGACCGCCTGGAGTGCGCCATGAGCTTATTCGATCTTATGCCCGAGCGAGACACCGCTTCGTGCAATGCGATGCTCTCGGGGTATGCCCGAAGTGGGCATCTCCAGCAAGCGAAAACGCTCTTCTCGGAAATGATCTGTCGAGATATTACGAGCTACACTACAATGTTCCAAATTCTTCTGGATTTTGGAAACCTCGATAGTGAGGCAAAGGTGTTCTTTGATTCAATGCCAGAGCACAATCTCGTTGCTTGGACTGCGCTTTTAGCAGCCTATATAAAAAAGGAACAATTTAACCAAGCAAAGTTTATCTTCGAGCAAAGAATGCCCGATCATGACCCAGCCTCATGCAATCTAGTAATCAACATGTTTGCAAAGAGCGGCCAGATTGATCTAGCTAAGAACTTGTACCATCAAATTCCAAATAAAGATCTTGTCATCTCGACTGCCATGCTCACAGCATATGCTCAGAATGACTATATAGAAAAATCAAAAGAAGTATTTGATTGTTTGCCTGAAAGAGACGCAGTGTCTTGCAACGCCATGATCACCGCATTTGGGCTCAAGGGTGACGTAGAAGCAGCTATTAATGTGTTCCAAAGCATGCCAGAGAAGACTCTCACAACATGGAACCTTGCTTTGTCTCTAATAACTCAAATACACGAAGCTCTACTGTTTTCTCTGGACATGCCAAATCGAGATGTGGTATCTTGGAATCATATCTTGACGGTCTACAGCCAAGGTAGCAGAATTGATGCAACAAAGCTTTTCTTTGACAAGATGCCAGAGATCAACGCTACTTCATGGAATACTCTCCTAGCAGCCAATGTACGCTCTGGGAATCACTCGAGAGCTTTAGAGCT